GACACATAAAAAGCACTAAAATACTGAACTACGTATATATTTAAATGTATTAAATAATAATCATATAAACTATTATATTATGAACTATTATATCACTTCATATAAAATATATATTTATATAATAGTTTATAAACCATTTATAAACCTTTTTGATTTTATTCATAAATCTCTATTTATTTCTCATTACAAGCCTGAAAATGTGTGTTACATTATAAGTGACTGAAACATACAGTGCTTGTATGCCTGCTCATGTCTAAAAGTGTTTCACTTCAGATTTCTTCTATGATCACAACCAGTTTTTGTGGTTTAATAATTGCACTAATGATTTCTGAGACACTTTTTAAAATGAATTAGAGTGTACATTGTTTAAAATACTTTTCAAAGCTTCCAGTGGAAGCTTGGCAGATATAAATATCAATCTCTGCAGATATAAAGGCTGTGCAGTCAGAAACAGCGAAACGTGTGGAGTGTTTGTGTCTCGAGGAACAGCCACAGGTCCATATGGGCTGAATCAGTGAGTTCAGAGCAGATTCGGTGAGTAACATATACAGGCAGACTATAAAGTTACTCATGACACATTCCAGTGCTTAAAACCCCCGTAACACATATGCAGCGAAATTAACTGCTCATTTTGCAGGGTCACACTTAAACACTCTCAGACAGAGACGCTTTTTTTCAAGGATAACATCAGCCCACAGTGTTTGGCGGATCTGTCTTTGTTTTGCATCATATTTCTGTCATTCAAAATCAAAACGAATAGAGAAAGGGGATTTTAGAGAGTTGGCTAGACATTTATTATTGAATATATATAATGCAGTTAACATTATTTCTACCAATCTATTATTCTATATTAGATTTTTGTCTGAGCAAATCATTTAATAACATAATAAAAGACAACACAATCTTTCAATTAGTCATCTCTTTTAAAAAAAAAGTCTTACAAAATAGTTTTATAATTATTAGAAAATTATTATTCCTCAGAAAAGAAATTGTTAGAAAGCTTTCTCAGTACAGGATTGCAGTTGGAAGGGCATCCACTGTGTAAAACATATACTGGATGAGTTGGCGGTTCGTTCCACTGTGGCGACCCCTAAAAATAAAAGGGACTAAGCCAAATGAAAATGAATGAATTACCAGAAAGCGTTTCTAGTTTTCAGCCAAACACTTCCAAGATTTTCAGTCAAGCCCGGAATTATCCATGTTCCTAGCGAATTGTGCCTAAAGTCACTTTTATTCAACCAGCAGTTTTTATTTTATTTAGTTTTTTAGACCAGAAATGACATTGAAAATGAAAATGTAATTTTGTCACTCTTAAGTAGTTTCAAACCTTTATAGGTTTCCTTTTTGTTCTGCTGAACATAGAAGCAGATATTTTGACTCGTCCAAAGTCTGTGTCTACCAGTTTCCAACATAAAGTATCATCTATTCTAATGTGTTGAACAGAAAAAGAAAAAAAAATGGATGAACGGTCCCTTTAAAACCTCAAAGTTGTTTGACGTGGATCTAAATGTTTGAGATTTGCCCGTGCGTCTGTGTGAGAATTTTTTTTGTTTTCAACATTCTACAAAATATCTTCTTTTTTCTGTTCAACAGAAAAAAAACTTTCATTTTTTATGTGAATTGTCCCTTTAAAGCGTCAACGTTTTTTAACATGGATCCTAATTTTGAGTCTGAGAAACTTTGCATTTGTGTGTGATTTTTTTTTTTTCCCTCAACATTTTTCAAAATATCTTTTTTGTGTTCAACAGAAAAACAAAACAACTGAATTAAAATTTTTGGGTGAACTGTCCCTTTTAGAGCCTCAAAGTAATTTAACATAGATCTGAATTTGGAGTCTGAAAAGCTTTGTGCATGTGTCTGCATGTGGTTTTTTTTTTGTTTGTTTGTTTGTTTGTTTCCAACATTCTTCAAAATATCTTTTTTTTTGAGTGAACTGTACTTTTTAATGCCTCAAAGTCGTTTAACATGAATCTGAATTTTGAGTCTGAAAAGCTTTGCATGTGTGTGTGATTTTTCGGTTTACAACATTCTTCAAAATATCTTCTTTCTCTGTGTTCAATCGGGAAAAAAAAATCACGGGAAACTTTTCCTTTAAAGCTTTAAAGGCCTTTACATGGATCTGATTTTTGAGTCTGAGAAGCTTTTCATGTCTGTGATTCCAACCACCCCCCAACATTCTTCAAAATATCTTATTTTTTGTTCATTCAGTCATTCGTTCATTCATTCAGTGTCTTGTCAGCTAAGTCCTTTTAAGCCTATTAATCAGAGGTTGCCACAGCGGAATGAACCGCCAACTTATCCAGTATATGTTTTACACAGCGGATGCCCTTCCAGCTGCAACCCAACACTGGGAAACACCCATACACCACGGCCAATTTAGCTTATTCAGTTCACCTGCACTGCATATCTTTGAACTGTGGGGGAAACCGGAGCACCCGGAGAAAACACACGCCAGCATGGGGAGAACATGCAAACTCCACACAGAAATGCCAACTGACCTGTAGCCAGGGCTCAAACAAGCGACCTTCTAGCTGTGAGGCGATCTTGCTACCCACTGCGCCTCCAGTTTTGGGTGAACTGTCCCTTTAAAGTTGTTTAACATGGATCTGAAGTTTGAGTCTGAGAAACTTTGCGTGTGCGTGTGTGTGATTTTTCTTTTTCTCTACATTCTTCGAAATATAATTTTTTTGTGTTGAATTTAAACTTTTGGGTGATCTGTCCCATTTAAAGTCCTTTAACACAGATCTGCATTTTAAGTTGAGAAGCTTTGCGAATCAGAGCTACTGTGTGCGATTATGGTTCATGTTTGTGATCTTCGAAGCCCTGAAGGGTTTACGTTTTCAGCTCTTTTCATTTCACAAACACATACCTACATCTGTAGCCAGAGGTCATCAGAGGTCCTTCCAGAACTATCCGGAGACTTTAATTCAATCTGCATTCTGTTCGAAGGAGATGCGGATCTCGGTCTGCCGAAGCCCTGAGCCAAACGCCAAACGCTCGCTGTGCTCTTACATACTTGAGTCTGTTTGAACTCCTGATCTGAAATCCTCCCCGAGGGCTGAAGCTGATTGTGAAGATCAACAGTCCTCCTGAGCGTCTCGTCACACTGTGCATCAGAAGCTTTTTCAGGCCCAAAAGCAAACTCAGATCCTGATGACTTCAGCCTGGGTCATCAGAAGATGATGGAATGGACCATCCAGATGTCTGCAGGAAAAGCAGAAATCGACAGACAGGAATTGAACGCCTGCTGTCTTGTTACTGAAGCTAAAGGGTCTCCTGGGTTTTTCTCTGGAGCAACAGTTAATGTTGAAAAACACTTAAACAGCAGACTTAAAGGAACAGTTTACCTAAAAATGAAAATGACCCCATAATTTTCTCACCCTCAAGCCATGCTCTTGCATACGACTTTTTTCTGTCAGACGAACACAGTCAGAGTAGTTTGAAGTGCAAGTTCACTAAAAAGCTTACCCATATGCCATCAATGGGCTAATATGTGTCTTATGAAAAGGATGGATGTGTTTTTGTAACAGAAAATTCTCATTTTTGAATGATAAACTCAAATCAGTGACCTCTGGCGGTGGCCGAATGAATTTAAGAGTAGTTCTGTGTAATGTTATACAATAATGCCAAGCCAAGTAGTTCCTTGTGGTTCCTGTGAGACATAAATATCTATTGCCGGAGCTTAAATGCCTCATGTTTGCACTAAACTTGCATTCGCCCTCCACTGATGTTCTGACTTCATAATTCGGAATTCTGACTTTACAACTCAGAATTGCAACTATATCATTTTAATTTCTGACTTTAAAACTCGAAATTCTGACTTGATAACTATAAAAAAACAGTATTTCATGAGCATGAAATCTGCATTTTTAAATGATTTCTGAAGTGTCACTGAAGTCTGGAATAAAGATGATGAAATCCAATTATATATTACTAAATATTACTACTTCTTAAAAATATTATGTTTCTTACTCATTTATTTTATAAAAAAAAAATCTAAATTAAAATACACAAGCAAATATAATTGATTAAAATCAGCTGCATATAAATTACCATACTGTGATAGAAAAAAAACTGTATTTCTTGAGCATCAAATCTGAAGTTTCGAGAGATTTGTGAAGCATCACGTCACTGAAGTCTGAAATAAAATATTACTAAATAATACTACTGCCATATAAAAATATTATTCTTTTTACTCAATTTTATTACATTTTATAAATTTTTATTTTTATTTTATAAATATTTTTGATAATCTTTGTCACTTAAGTCTTGAATAAAGATGCTGAAAACAGTTTAAATTTTACAAAATTGTACTACTACCGTATTAAAAATATTTTATAAACTATACAGACATTTATATTGATTAAAACATTTAAATAAGCTGTACATATCAAACCATACTGTATAAAAAAAACACTATGCTGCCTTTGTATTAATAATAATGATTAAAATCTGAGAATTGCGAGATTAAAGGTAAAATAAAATGGCTAAATGCTTTATGGGTCTTCTTTTAGAAGAACTTATACTGGGATGTTTGTTTTCCTTAAGGTTAATAATGCAGCTGCAGCGCCCTCTAGTGCACGATCAGAGAGTCACATTTTACATATTAAACTTATTCATTTCTAAAAGTTTTTTTTGTTGTTGTTGTCTATAATTACAGCAGCACTGTTTTTTTCGTAATTATAATGAATTATTTATGCAGCTAAAAGCCCACTTTTCAAACATCCGTAGAGCAGTTCTCTTCATTACCAATCATCTCTAGTTCTTACATCGATATATTGAGCTTGTAGTCCTGAGAACTACACACCAAAAAAATGACTTTTGCAGCTTATTCAAACTACTTATTTAAAATGAGTTAACTTAATTGTTTTATGTTCAATGCACTTAAATTTGTAAACTTAACTTAATTGATTTGTGCCGGGACAACATGAAGTAATTGTGTGAAACCCAGTATTATTTTCAGTGTATAGCATCTGAACATGCGTGTGTTTCCTCTGTAGGTCTGTGCAGCTGAACGGAGAGCCCTTGCGCATGGTGGATAATGAGACGTTCCCTGAGCTGAAGCCTAGGACGCTGCGGGCTGGCAGAACGATAGCCATGCCTCCTGTATCTATTGGTTTCTACGTCATCAAGAATATTAACGCTTACGCCTGCCGCAGATAACACACACTGACCGACCTCAGCACATCTTCTGTTCAATGCACCAGCCCCTCGTGGCACTCTCCTGTTTTAGAAGAAAGACCCCTTCGTTCAAGCAAGGGTTGCACTGAATGCTTCCAACAACATTTCTCCTCTTTTGAATCCACAGGAACAGCTGGACTTGTGGAAAGTGAATGTATTTCGGTTGCTCTGTTGTGATTTGTTTTTGTTGCTTTTAATTGCAGAAGCTTATAATGAAGTCTGGTGGTTCTTCAATCATAGCAGTGTCACTGAGAGCTTTATGGTATGATGTTGAGGATCATCTTAAGCTACAAACATGAGGTAATCAGTTAGCACATCCCGGCTGAATCTGACTTGATTTTCAGTTTTGCTTTTTGATACACAATTAAAAATAAGGCCGGTTTTTACAGAATTGCCACAGAACCGATCTTGGTTCCCCAAAGAATCTTTCAGCCAGCAGGTCTTGCTGTATAAACATTTATATATTAGAGTGAAGAATGTTATAATGAACTAAAAAACCTTTTTGACTTTAATATTTCATGCATGTCAATGGCTCCTAATGGAACTATTGATTCTAATTAAGAAGCTTTACTCTAACTGTGCATTCACATCGAAAGCGGCGAGATCGTCAGTCGCTGGAAGTCATTCATTTTCAATGGGAGCCAGCGGCTATAGGTGGCATGGTGCGTCTTTGCCGGTGTGAGCGTCGAGAAGAGTTGAAATCAAGTCAACTTTATGCTTATGAGTAGGCCCACACGGAATCTGCGCGCGCAGAATTCAGCAGATTTTTTGCAGATTTTTTTGCAGATTTTCCACAGAATTCCGCAGATTTCTGCAGATTTTTAGCCTATCATTAATTCTGTTTATTTACTGGAGCAAATGTGTAAATCTGAATTTATTCAGTTTTTATTCAGTAATTTATTTCTTTTTATTTAATATATTAAGGTCTAAGTTATGATACTTCGCTGGATATTACCAAAATAATTCCGCAGAAATCCGCAGATTTTTACCAAAATTCTCCGCAGAAATAGCAAAAAACGTCCGCAGATTCCGTCTGGCCCAACTTATGAGCTATGACGCAGTTCAAGCAATCGAAGTGTTAGGGCTCTTTTTTTAACAATCTAGGCGCAAAGTCTAAAGCTCAGGGCGCAAAAACATTAAGGGCCTGTCCGAATCCCATTTTGCTATTTTATGGATGGAAAAATACGCTCTGCACTGCGGCACATGGTCTAACAGGGTTGAGCTTATTCTTTTAATGAGTTCTGGGTGTGTTTTGAAAATAAACCAATCAGAGTCTCATCTCCTATTCCCATTAAGAGTCAGGTCCATTGCGCCATGGAGCATTTGCTATTTTCATGGATTACTTTGTAAGTGGAAAACTGAACGCTTCACTAGTGAAGTTAAACAGACCATCTGCAGCGAGGATAAAGAATGAGTCTCCTTCAATCGGCCTCTTTACTTTCCCTTTTTCTTTCTCTCTTTCGTGGATAAGGAAATGGTGTTGTTCACTCCACTAAAGATATCCATTAGCCTACATAATTAATTTTGTTTGTTAATTATGCAAACTAATAATTTAACAATAATAATGAAGTGTGATTATGCCCAAACACACGTCCTATCTTATGCTCCATATGGTCCAAAACCCGACTGGTGGACAAATCTAAGCTTGTTTTTATTAAAACAAATATAAATATGCATATAATAAATAATACTAATCATAATAATAACATTATACAAAAGCAAGTTATGAATAAACTGAAAAACTGTAAGTTTAACTGTAGTTTCTCAAAATAGCAACGCGCCAACAATTCGCCTTAACACACCTCTTTTCTAGACCGGCACACCCATGAGACAATAAAGTGGTGCAAATGGATTTGCTATTCAAACAACATGGTGGAAAACGGGAAAATTAGTGTTGCGCTGGTCTGAAAATAGCAACACGTTGGGGCAAACACATCTTGTGCCTTATTGCGGCAGGTGTATGATAGGGAAGATTTCTTGAGAAGATTCCAGAGAACACAGTCCTGTGAATTTTTGGTTCCGACCACAGTTTTTTCCAAGGGTTTGAATATTGCAGTTGCCTAATTTCCAATTATTTACAATGTTTTCTTACAGTGACATGCATAAAAAGCCTAGTACCTGCTAGTTGTTGTGCATTAATGTTTCTTTTAAAAAAAAAAAACTGGAATCTCACTCTATAACTATAACGAGAGTTCAAAAGAGTATTGCTGCTTCAGAATATTTCAGGCATATGAGCACATATTGGATAAGTAGAGCAAAGCCACACACAGACCAAGTTAATCTTTCATAGTTAAATAAATTTGATAAAAATCATGCAACATTTTATGCTAGAAAGCATGTTTTTATGTGGAAATGTAACAAATTTACTGATATTGCTGCAACAATCAATGCAGTGAATTTTGACGCTCTCGCAGGCAGACAGCGTTATCATCAGGGTGGCTAGAGCGAACTTTGATGCCCACGCCATCTTTGGTATGAAGGCACAGTACGAGTACAATTTTGTGCGATAATCTGCACTCTTCAGAACAGAAGTTCAGTATTGGCATCTGCCATTTCATGGAGAACATTCAACATGCATGAAATCTTTTCAATTGAATAAAAGGTTGTTTATACGTGCATACAAATCCAAATACACCCAAAAGCACTTCACAATCATGAGGGGGGTTTCTCCACACCACCACCAGTGTGCAGCATCCACTTGGATGATTAGGACAACGGTGCCAGTGCGCTCATCACCCACCAGCTATAGGTGGAGAAACAGTGATAGATCCTATTCAGGCCAATTCAAAAATTGGGAGGCTATTGGGCTAGGGCCAATTGAGGGAACTTGGCCAGGACACTGGGATTACCAGGGTTTTAATGATCAGAGAGAGTCATGACCTCAAGTTTAATGTCTCATTCGAAAGATGGCGCTTACTGACAGTATAGTGTCCCCCTCAATATTCTGGGGCATTAGGACTCATACAGAACGCAAGTTGAGCACCCCTTGCAGACCTCTCTAACACCAACTCCAACAGCAACCTAGTTTTCCTATGTGGTCTCCCATCAAGGATCTGACTGCTTAGCTTCAGTGAGTAACCGTTCTTGGGCTGCAGGGTGATATGCTGTGTTAAGGTTACAAAAAAGGTTCCCCAAATGTCATGTCAGTTCAAAAATGAACCATTGATTCTATGAAGAACTATTAACATTTAAGGAACCTTTCTGTTGCCTAAAAGGTTCGTTAAAGTTTACCCAGCAGGCACACAACATCAGATGACATTGATCTTTAGTTCTATTTTGGTTGTGATCTCAGGTGACCAAAATTTTACATCAATTTGTTGTCTAATTCCGGCATCAGCTGGCATTTATATTATGTTGGTTTTAAGCATTAACCATCTAAAATCCAACATCATTTTAACTTCATGATATGACATCAATACAATATCAAAGTCTAACATCAGTAGACGTTTATATTTGGTTGGTTTTATGTTGTGTAATTCCCTAACTAAAATTCAACATCACTTTAATGGCATAATGTGACGTCCATACAATGTCAAAATTATTAGCTGTTATGTTTGTTGGGGATTAACTGAAATTCATCTTGACGTTGAACTCTGAAGATGCATTCTGTCGTCAACCTAATTTTCATATACAACCAAAATTCTAAGTTAGTCTGGCATTGGAGTCCAACCTCAGTTTTACATCTGTGCCCGGTGCCTGCGGAGTAAAATCTTTTTCAGATTAGCAGTTCTTCATGTATCGCTTTCAAAAAACTACTAGCGTTGATGTATTAAAATACTCCCAATCGTGAGAAATAACTTTACAATAGTAAGAGGTATTCTAAGGGGAAAAACTCAGAATTGAGATAGAAGTCCGAATTATGAGATGTCAACTTACATTTTTTATTATTATTCTGTGGTGGAAACTCCTTTTGGAATCTTTCTTTGTAAGAATGCTTGGGATGGATTTAAACATGGTGAAATGTGTTAATCAGAACTGACAGAACTGCACTCTTATTAGTAGTTGGGAACATTATCAGATTAGCCTAAATATTTGAATGCCGAAAGCTCACAGGGGGGAAGGTTGTAAATGACAGCCGTTCCAAATCTGCCGAGTTCTGTGGGTGCGGATTCTGTGTGGGCCTGTCTGTCAGCTTAATGTGATTAAGCGAAGTTAAACGTGTTCCTGGATCAACATCTTTGTTGGTTCTTAAACAAAATTCCAGCCTGTGGACCAATCCGATTTTAGGGTTAGATTTAACTTGCTTTTCAGCCAATCCCTTCCCTCAGATTTTAAGGGCTATGTTTAGGGTTGGAACTTCAACTGCTTGCCAGAAAATGTTGTTTCAGGACCAATGAGTAAGATTAAACCTGCTTAATCGTATTTGATCTGAATTAAATCTTTTGTTGTTTCCTTTCTAGAGTCTAAAGTCGCTCAAAAAGCACAGGATAAAATCTTGAACTGTAATCTTTCTTGTTGAAAATATACATATCTCCCCTTTTTTGAGTCATCTTCATAACTTTGGTATAAACTTGACCCATTGCCTGAAAACAAGCTTGCAGTTTAGGGCTTCTTTTTGGCTGCTTTATAAATCCAGAACTATATGATAATGGAGCTACTATGGGAAGATGCAGATTTCTGTCTAAACGTCTTCACATTTCATTTTTATCATTCAATGACTCTTCTACAATCTCTGTAGCTCCTCAGTGGGACTCAAGACAGCTCTATGGTAGTGATGTTGCTCATGAATGTTCGATCCTCCAGTCTTGCTCTCTGCCCCAATTCACTTATCCCTTTTACTCCCATTACCCTTCATAGGGCAGGAATCCCTCTTGCTTTCCTCCTGATGGCCGGCGTTGCTCTTGTTTCCTCACTTAGCATCCAGCCTTGGCCTCTGGCAAATGGTGGGAATTCCACCAAATCGAAAGTAAGACCCATGAATGACTGAAACCTAAAACAAATCTTCAGCTCATGCTCTTTTATTTCTCAGATTTCTTCCATTGAGCTTCTATATGTGCTGGTCTGGTTTTAATATCATGGAAGGCTATGCAAACACTGTGTTTTTCCACAACTTGGCATTGCACAACGTTTTGTAATTGGTAAGCCTAGGACACATGAAGTCTATGGTTGGCCAGTGGCCTTTGTCAGGTCATTGGTCAGTATTGATCTGTCTAGTTGGTTTGGTGTGTTCCACACCTTGCCTCTTGTTGGGTTGACACCAGATTGATATGCCCTAATTCGGCATGTATTTGGTATTGGCCATTGGCTGAAGAGAACACTCTAACTGGTTATTCAGCAATGAATCAGAGCGCAAGAACAAAGATTTAAGGAATGTACCTAAGTAAGCAATTCTAGTAATGCCTCATTCACACTAGCAGCAAATCAGTAGCTGCCTGTTGTTCTGGGGGGCGATCTGCTGCAAACGCAGGTCTGTGTGGGTCTACAGCACGGAGAATACAAGCGGCCTCTGCAGGAGCAGAGAGAGGATCACATGAGCTCTACTGATCCTTCTATTGGTTGACGCTTTTCATTTGCATAAAGTTGAAGGATTCTTTGACGCGTCACTCGACGTAAACGCAGGTCGGCGGAAGTCACTCACTCTCTCCATTAAATTAACGTTCATCTTCACAATCAGCTGACAACACAGTTGGTTTTCGTCTATGCTATTTGTTTGGCATCAGTTATTCGTGTCCCTGCGCTTAGAGGTATCATTCTTGTTTTGTTGCTCCAGAAATCTTTTGTTTTTATCCTTTAATTCAGTGGTCCCTAACCCCCATGCCAATTGGATCAACTGGTACGAAACGCACAAGAAGTCATTATTTATTTTATG